TTTTTTTTTTTTTTTTTTTTGGTTCCAGGGATTGAACTCTGGACCTTGCACTTGCAAAGCAAGCGGCAGAACCACTGAGCTACATCCCCGGCCCTAAAATATATTTTAAAAATGCTGATACTTAAAAGTGACAGCAAGAAAACTTGTCTATCCAATCTGGTTAAGTCCCTGCAATTCAAGATAGTCAAGATTTTCCTACTTTGAAGAATCAAGACAGTTGGTACAAGCAAGGTCCCAGTAGGTCAGGCCTGTAATCCTGGCACTCAGGGAGGCTAAAGCTAGAGGTTCACAAATTTGAGCCCAGCCTGGCAACTTACTGAAACCCTGTCTCAAAAAGTAAAAAACGGAGCCAGGGATTTAACTCAGTGGTTCTACTGCCTGCCTCGCAAGTGCAGAGTCCTGAGTTCAATCCCTTGTACCAAAAAAAAAAAAGGCCAGGGATGTAGTTTTGTACAAAGACCCTGGGTTCAATCCCCAGTACTGCATACACACACACAAACGATAAAACCAAAATGATTGGCACACACTATGATTACATTTGTTTCATAACTTTTGTGTTTCACACGTGATATTTGTAATAACGGTGTCTGGACTTTTCATTCTCCTATCCTTTCATTCAGTGTCCTCTTGAAGTTAGCTTTCCCCAGTGTCCACTTTTATAAGTAAATCCCATTACGTGATGATTCCGAGTAGCTGATATAACCAAGCTTTATTCTATACTTGAACAGATGCCTAACGGGGACTTGTCTCTCGATACTTGTCTATTCAATCTCTTATCAGGTTCAGTTCGAGATGTGGAGACACAAACAAAACGAATTCCCAGACCTCAGTTTATATTCTAATGGGGAAATACTAATAAATCAAACAATAAAGACAGGTACGAGTATGTGCTATGAAGAACCAGAAATTTTGATATAGAGAAAGGCATAAAGCCAGGGACAGTGGCAAATGCCTATAATCCCAGCATTTGGGAGGCTGAAGCAGGATTGGTAGTTCAAGGCCAGCCTAGAGTACATAATGAGTTTCAGGACAATCTAGGCTACCTGGTAGGGTTTTGTCTCAAAAACAAAAACAAACACCCACAAAATCAAGTGTATAACATTTGATTAACACTAATATAGAAAAAGTATGTGTTGCTACACTCTATGTAAAAATCTTCAAGGATGATACAGGTTGCCCAAGAAATCTTACTAACCAGAATCTTCCCTATCAAAAAGAACATATGGATTAAATGTAGTCTATGTTCCATAAATGAATAAACAAAAAGACTGATAAGAATCAATCTCTGCTCATTGTAGATTTATTTAAAAATAAATACCACCCAATTGAATATGAGAGTGGTAGGCTATATAAGTAATAAAATCCTTTATGCTTCTATAAGCCTAAAATTATACAGAGAATACATTACATTGACACATACTGTGTTTATAAACATCTTAAATTTCTTGGGGTATAATTTTTCATTAATTCATATCTATGCACAACTTTCTGAACTGAATGCTTCCCAAAATATTTTAAACATTTCGAAGTAAATTTAAATAAGACCTAGACAAAAAAAAAAAATTTTTTTAAGTATTCCTCCCATGTCATATATTATCTCAAATTTTTAGCGAGAAGAATACAAGTAAGTTTGATCCTATAGCTTACCCAACATAATCCACCTCTCTAGGATAATTTAGTAATCGAAGCACTTGTTCTAGTTTCCGTAAGCTTCTTTTTAAGTCACCTGTTGCCATTATTTAACATTAGATTCAGCTCCAACTCTTGCAATAGTACAACTTTTCACCTAAAAATAAAAATCCATAAATCACTGGTTAAATCTGTGTAAGTGTATGTTTTGAAGCTTCTCTGTTCATTTTGACATATCTCCAATAAGCACTGTTATGGTTTGGGTCTAGGTGTCCCCCCAAAGCCTCATGTGGTCACAGGCTTGAGCTAGAGGATGTGACCTCTAGAACTGATTCATTTTCTTAAAAATTTTTTTTTTTTTTATTTTGGGGTAGGGTAGGGGAAAGGTAATAGGGGAAAAAATATAAGAAAATGAAAAAATGGAAATAAAATATTTGTAAATAGGGAAGGGAGGAGGGGGTGAAGGGAGGGCAGGGACAAGGGGAAAAAAATGACAACCAAGACCTGTCATGTAAAGGTACAAGATCCCGATGATGAAGTACTCTATACCTAAAATGTACCAATAAACTCAGACAGAAAATTTTTTTTTAATTTTTTTCATTCAGTTTATTGGTACATCTAAAGGAAACAATATAGTTACATTTATCATTGGGATCTTGTACCTTCACATAATATATCTTGGTTCTTGTTTTTCCCCACACCCCTGCCCTCCCTTCATCCCTATCACCCTTCCCCATTTACAAAGACTTTGTTTCCATTTTTTCACATTTTTTCTTTTCCCGCATTTCCTTTCCCCTCCCCTTCCCATTTCCCCTTTAGCCATTTTCTTACTATTTCATGATGCAATTCTAAACTCAAGGGCACTAGGATTAAGAGTGTGAGTGCTACCCACCCTAAGTAGTCTGAATAAGATAAAAGGGGCAGGGAGACACTGTTAACACTCTCTCACTACTTTTGCTGCCTTGTGTGTGCCACGTTGTTTCTGTGCTGTGTTGCTTGTTTGCCCTCCCAACCTCACAGCCAGCCATTTACGGACAGAAGCCTCTACGAACTGTGAGTCAAATAAACCCCTTCCCCTCTAACTTTCGGTGGTGGGTATTTTTTTGTCTCAGCAACTACAGAAAGGTAACTAACACAAGCACTTACCGAATTTTAACTTATTTATATTACTTCTAACTTATTCTCTTCTCTATTGTCCAAGTACTTACTGCTTACAGTATACCTACTAGAAATTCCTGAATATAAAATAGGTTTCCACCTTATCCTCCAACATTTTTTCTTATAAAAAATAAGTTTGTCTTGTATTCATGCTACTGTAATTCATGACATTTTTCTGCATAAATATGAACACTAAAATATCATTTGGAAAGACATATCAAGTTAAAATAACTTCCATTAATGCCTATTTTGGATGCTAATGGAAACTACATAATACTATCAGTGAAAACTAGAGAGAAAAAAGAAATCTAGAACAGAGATAGTCATTGTCCCTAAAGCTCTGACCTGAAATAGTCGCCAGATGCCATAAGTTTAGAATTTTTCAGGGTTCACCAATAACTTATTCAGCTAAGCAACTACCTCTCTACTTCCTTGATGAGATACAAGAGTTTTACAAACTGAGGAAATTGAACTGAAGAGGTATCAAATTTGGAAACATCAAGCAAGGCAAAGAATATGAAACAGAAATAAAAATACAGTTTCTTCCAATTCCTCAGCTTCAACAAACTGCAAGGTTACATCTTCTATGGCAGCAGATTGGTAAATCCTATCTAGGCAAAGTAGATAAACCTAGGGAAAAATACCTTAAAACTAGGCTGATATTTGAGGGAGACCTCCAATGTAAAGTTCAGGGTCAAATCCCATAAGCTTGCTGCAAAGTGCATCCGTGCACGAGCTATTAGTCATGCACCTCTTTTTAGGGTCCTATGCTTCAAACTGAATACATACAAAGGCCATAGTATGAAAAGAAAGCTTTCAGTATGTGAGGCAGAGATTAATATAAAACAAATTAAGGGAAGAAAGATTTGGTGAATATAGTCAATATAAGAAATAAAAGAAAAGTTCAAAATGAAAATTATAGATAGTACTTGATTTATGATGAGAGTTATGTCCTGGCAAACCCATCACAAGAAATGCTGCAGTTTGTTTGTTTGTTTGTTTGTTGAAGGGGGCTGGAAATTGAAAAGCTGATTCTAAAATTTATATGAAAATGTACAAGCTAAAGGATAGCAAAATCTTGAAAATCAAATTGGAGAGCTGTAGCCACTGTAAAGGAAGGCTTTTTAAAAAACTAAATTTGGAATTAGTGAAAAGATATACAGCGCAATGAAGAGAACAAAGTCCAGAAACAATCAATGCATGTGAGACCAGAGATTAGGGCTTGACAAAGCTGACTAGGGAAGCTGGTGTGACTTGGTAATAACAAAATCCCAGGACATGTGTAGAGCAGTTCCCAAAGTCCTATACATGGAATTCTCTTGAGAACTCATGCAGATTTTTGATCTGATGTTGGCCTGAGGAGTGGGTGACACAAAAAGGACATTCAGGCTGAGTCTTTGCCACTGTGTTCTCTTGCATAATGGCCCACCTTCATGCTGTAGGGTGTATTTCTTTTCCTACCTTTACTTGGCCCAGACTCTGCAGAGCCCTTTTCCTTCCTTTAACAGAACTTTGCTAACATTTGTGCTTGTCTTAATCAATTCTTTGCTAAGGACAGAAAGAACCTGGAAACCAGCTCCAGAAGAAAACTCCCACACCTCTAAATGCAATAACACATAGACTGACAACAGATTTATGTTAAAGTTGATACTGAGTAGCAGTGGAAAAGGAACAGTCTTTTCTAATCAACAATGATAAAAACAAGTTGCTTGGTATACTTTTAAATATTTATATTTCTGTCACTATTTCTCAGCCAATTAATTGCACCATTTATGTTTTTAGGCAGAGGGACTTTCAGTTACCATCCTATGGGAGGTAACTGGAAAAAAGAGGAAGTAATCCTGAAGTCAAATTATACAAACTACTGGCCAAGAAGGTCAACCTTACTTAACATCTTTTAGGATGCCTGAGGTGAGATGGACACATGGAAGCAATAAAAAGATCTTCTAGACTAAGCCAGGTGTGGTGGCATACACCTTTAATCCCAGCACTCTGGGAGGCTGAAGCAGGAGGATCACAAATTCAAGTCCAGCCTGAGTAACATAGTGAGAACTTATCTCAAAATTAAAAATTAAAAACTGGGTGGTGACATAGCTCAGTGTGAAGGCCCTGGGTTCAAACCCCAGTCCTGGAAAAGAAAAGAAAAAGTATTTTCTTAGCAGCCTTTACTTTACTGAGAAAGATAAAGTAGAAACTAATTTGGCTATTACTGAAAAAACCTATACTTGGGTTTCACCACTGGCTAACGTTTGTAGATCTGAGCTTGTTTGAGGTTCCGGGGCTATGTAACTTAACACAATTCTTTTCATAAGACATTCATTAACTTTAAAGTGTATATCTTCCCTTAGTCCTTTCAAATGTATATTCTATCTTTCCAGTATATGCAATTTTGTTATGTGTTAACACTGTGTGGTATCTTTCCATCTTTCCTTTTTCTGATGTCCTGGGACACATTATTTCTACCTCTGGAAATGAAATTTTTGAATGCAAAATATCTCCCTGGAACACTTCGTTTTCAGTAACAGAAGAATAAACATTTTTGTAGAAAAGTAAAATACCAAGACAGTTTGGATGTGTAGGTGAAATCAGTAATAAAAATAAAGCAAAAATAAAGGGCTTGGCAAATGTGAGCAGTACAGAAAAAGATTTATGCTGTTCATTTTCAAGAAAGGCTTTACTGAAAAAATTGTTAAAATATTAGAAAATATTAAAATTCAGATATTAAAATAGCGAATCTATTGGTTGTGCATATTTAACAGTATACCTAGAGATGAAAAATGACTTTTACTTCGAGGAAACTGATTAATATTTTAACTTTCCATCTTTATCAAAACTAATTTTTTAAAAAGGAGATACTACTCCCCTTATGCTACATTCCATCATTAAGGTATCAATATTGCTATTTCTTAGTTTCCTCCAGATTTCTGTGTACAAGTCAGATCGCTCCAATGAATTTATGGAAGATGTCTTTAAATGGTATACCACAGTAGTTTAAGATTTTTAACCCAATTCAATCTCATGGCAGTTAGAAACCATTAAAATGATAATTGTCAATGGGATGTTACCAAATTCTCTTCATTTCTGTTCAGAATGAAGCAATCACAATGACTGCAGTAACTAACGGTGGATGGCTAAGAGTGTATAGCTTATAACCCTCTATGTCACCTAAAAAGGTGTCAGAGGAACAAAGGTGAGTAAAAATTAAATGTACGAAGAGTTTGTGCAAATAATGTGATGAAACAGGTAAGAGAAGTTTGAGGAAAGAAAAGCACTTCAGTTAAAGAGCTTAGTGGCATTACTGTGCTCACATGAAGCTTCTTAAATGCTTTGCAAATATTTCTGGAAAATAGTCTAGGACAGCCATAGTTCCAGATCAAATAAGAATTAAGATTTCAAGATTAAAAGATGAAGATAGGAAGATGGAGAAATGTTTGAAACACCAAGAAAATACAGGTAAGGAAAACACGAACTACTTGCAACTCTTCCTTGTAGTCGGCTTTTTGAAGAAGCCAGCCAATAACTTCCCAGTCCTAAGTACAACTCAAATTTGAGGGGATGAGTTGTCACGATTCTTCCCACTTCGTGTTATTAGGAGCTGCGTAAACAGGCAAGCCACATCTAGGATTCCCCTCCCGCCCCTTGATTTAAAAGAAAACACAGACCTGATAATCTGCCTGCACCCGAGGTCTCGGTAAGCGCAGTAGAGAAAAGAGATCTCTGAACAAACTAGGGCACAGCGGGCCAGCTCCCTCGGGTTCACCAACAGCCTCAGAAGAAAGATGCGGCCTCACAAGGGCTCCGGCAGAGCCAAGCACGGAGGAGGGGAAGGAAGCATAAATAACCATAAGTAACCGGAGACAGTCACCGGAACCGGCCTTCACCGCCACTCCCCGCGCCCCGGCGCGCTTCTCGCGCGGACCGTTTGTATTCGCAGCGGCGGGTTCAAGCCCGCCAGGCACCGCGGCAAGATCTTCCAAGCGGCCGCTGCACCACGCTCCGGATTCCGTGCTGCAGATTCCACACGCCGTTCGTCCAGACCCCGAGAAGAGGTGACTCTATCGAGAGCTTCCTCAATAGCCAGTGTTCGATATAAAGTTGCAGATTAGAAGTAAGTGTAATATGGGTGGTTAGAGTCGCTCAGACCTCGAAGCGAGAAACAAGGAATCTATGGCGAATGTAAAACAGCAGGAGTTGAAATGCTTCTTCTTTAAGGGGCACAACTTAACGTCACTTCCGGCAACAATAGGAACTGTCATCTCGGACAGTCCGCAACGCTGACTCCATCAGCTTGAGGTGTTCTGCGTTCGCGGGGTTCTAGTGCTGTTTCTGGCAACTTCAGCACCGTCGTCTTCACCGGCGTGAACACCTGAAGTTTGGATAGGCTTCTCCATGGCCCGGGCAGCAGTTCCCGGCTAAATCACTTTCTTTTTGGCTAAAAGCCCCCACCCAGAGGCCGATTCGTCGCGGCGGCGGCGGAGATCGCAGGTCGCTCAGGTATAAGCGTCAGCCTAAATACTGCAGATCTCGTGTTTGTTTCTTGTACATCCTCACTTTTCTACTCGGAAATAAAGACGGTGCTTGCCAGTTGGCAGAAACTGGCCGACCAGCAAGAGTTTAGAACCAATGACAGTGTAACGCATCTTGAGTGACAGCAGCGATGGCTTATTAAAGTGAAGAATCAATGTTAGGAGGCGGGAAAATGTGTTCTTGTTTCTAGGCTATTGAGGTATAGGTCAGTTTAGGACTCTAGGTAGGTAGTGACCCCGGAGTCTTTGTGAAATAAAACCAAGAAACAGCAAGGGTTACTTTCCTCAGGATCCAGTGTTGCTTTTCAGTAGTGAGACTATCACTTGGGTGATTAACCACTTGTTAGCTCTTTACGTGCTTTTCAGTAATAATGCAAAACACGTGCAGTTAGAGTCACGTTAGGTTGTCAGTTGCTACAACAAATGAGGGTTATAAATTTTGTTAAATTCATAATTTGTCTTCTCTTGTTTGTTCCTCTGTGACTGTCCTCTTGCCGCTCGAATGACAGTGCTGAGTCCCAATTTTCAGTCATTAGATTTTTTTTAAATTCCATTGATCCAATAGTTAAGCGAGGCATATAAAAAGGCATATGAATGACGTCATTAACCTTGGTTGATAACCTGTTGTCTTCAGTCTTGGTATTTAATTGATGGTAGAGGATGATCTATCCCTAGAGCGCTAATGGTCTATGGAGAATCCCAAAGATTGGTACTAATTACAAACTTCCTTCATCCCTTAGGGAAGTACATAAATCTGGCCATTTAATTTCCAGGTCTTGCCTTCTTTGGATGCGCCTCCTATCACCAGTTTTGGTATGTTTTCATCTTCTGCACTGACTCCTTGCAGCCCCTAGCCCTATCTGACTGCCTCCTAATTCCTACCTAACTTACCTGCCTAAAGTAGATAGAAGGCAGGTCAGTGGCAACCTTTGTGATCAAATAGGGATGAGAGAGGAGGGTCTTAGAAGTATATTTTAAGGGCCGGGGATTTTAAAAAAAAGTGTATTTTGGATGTTTCTTTTACTCTTTTATTAAGTACTTGTATTAAATCTTTTTAAACTGAAAGGCCTTTTCCCCTGTTAAAGGAATTTTAGGAATTACCAAGCAATTTTGAGAGTATATTTCTCCCCACCCCCACCCCCGTGCTTCACGTTGAACCTAGGACTTTATGCCTGGTAGGCACGTGGTCTGCCATGAGCTAGATGTCTCCAGCACCTGGATGTTTCTTCCAAATATTATTAGGTGAATTAGGTGGCAAGTACCTGCTTCTTTCTGTAGTGCATGCCTGCCCATCAGTAACTCAGCTTTCGTCAGTAAACCATATACACTTATTGGAAAGAAAAACTGCATACTTCAGTGTTTGTTATAACTGTTTGGTGTATGATCCAGTGTAAAATTGCCTATGCTTCTTGTAGGTTTGAAAATGTAAATCCTTACCTGTTAGTATAATATTATCAAGTTTATCTCTTATGCTTCAGATATTTACCACTAACCTTAATTTGGCTATTCTCAAATTGTAAATTTGGCTTTTAAATCGGGGCTTCCTATCACGTTAACATACTTTATTTTAATAGAGTATGGCCAGTTTGCTACTATAATTTTGGACCCTTAGATATCTGCAGAATTTTAAATACATGGTTGATAGAAATACACAGTTGAAATGCTTTCCTGCCCAAAATTTTTTATGGTAATAACTTTAAGATAACCCAAAATATTAATCATAATTTATTAAATGTGATCAGTGTAATGGAGAGTGGTTTGTGTGTTTACTATGCTTTGGATAGATTAAAAAATATTTTTCTTACTTTACAATACAAAAACATTGAATTGCAAAGAGATGGCTCCTTTCTTTGGTCACAGTACCTTAAAATTAGCTATTCAGATTTATATCTTTGTATTTAATTACTTATAGCTAAGTTTTTTGCAGTATGGTACGTATTTGGAAACTGAGGCTGTTCTTTTGGCTGGTCCATGATAATGAATCAGGGTCATTAACACACACATACACAAACTCATGTTGCTTTTCCATTAAATTATTTTACTTAAGTAATGTTTTAGAACAATGTTAAGGAAAGACATCTTGACATAGATTCTTGAGATGGATTCTATAATAAATATCTTTGGCTGACTGGAGTTCATAATGTGCCATCTTTGCAACTATCCCTCTCCATAATTCACTTCATGTTGTAAAGATGAAAATCTGCATTCAGTAAACTCCCCATCCCCACAACAACCCAAATCCTGGTTAATCATCATTCTACTTTCTTTATCTATATTACTACTCCTAATACCTCATATAAACAGGATTATACATTATTTGTCTTATTGTAACTGTCTTTTTTAATGTAGTATTGACATCTTAATAATAGTCTTCCAATCTATAAATATGAATATTTCTATTTATTCATTTCATTTTTTAGCTTTCATGTAGAATTATTTCACTTGCTTGGTTAATGCCTAAGTATTTTATTCTTTTTATTGCTATTATAGATGGAATTGTTTTCTTAATTTCTTTTAAATTGTTCATTGTTAGTGTATAAAAATACAACTGATTTTTGTATGTTGACCTTGTATCTTGTAACTTTGCTAAATTAATTTATTATTCCTGGTTTTCTTCTTTTGGCGGGGGGGATGCTGGAGATTGAATTTGGGACCTTGCACTTGTGAGGGAGGCGGCAGAACCACTGAGCTAAATCCCTCCCTTGGGTTTTTTTCATTTTGAGTTTGTTTTTGCAGAATTGTGGTTTCCTACATGTAAGAGTCTGCAAACAGTGATAATTTTACTTCTTTCTTTATTATTTGGATGCCTTTTATTTCTTGTTTTGGGCTAATTGCTTTTGGAACCATAGAATTTTATTGCTAAAAGAGATTTTTGGAGATCATCGAGTTCAAAATCCTTGTTTCACAGATGGGAAAACTGACCTCAAAATTTAAGTGACTTCCCTAGTTCTTACAACTAGCGAAAGAAAGAGTGTGAATCAAATTTGTGTTTTTTCTTAGTCTTTTTTCACTATTAACTGTTTTCCAGTTTCTGACTTTCCTCATATTTTGGGCTACCCTCAATATTTATTTTATTTTGACAGCTTTTTTATGTAAAACCTGTTGAGAATTATTAGTTTTCTTTTGTTTTTTAATTCCCCAATGCTCATAGGAATAGCCATTGCACAAGAGTGTAGTGGACATTTAGGAGGTGGGCTGGGTGTGCTGCTGTGGCTGGTGACAACTATAATTGTCCTTATTAAAGAGTAGTGCAGTGGAGTGAGAACCAGTATTAATCTGAATAATACTGGTGAGAAGTATGATAAATTTTACTACAAGAAAACAATAGAATATTTCTCTAGTTACAAAATGCAAGCCTAAAGTTCTCAGATTTTTGGTTATATTTCAATAATATTTTGATTTTCACATTTGTTTAGATGCCTTTTGATAACATTCTTTATAGTATAGAATTAAAGATGGGAAAAATTCTTCAGAAAACAATACTGTAGATCTTTTTACATTAGAAAAACCTCTACAAATAGTATGCCTTTTAGTAAGAAAAACTGCTCTTGCAAGACCAGATCTTTAAATTTAACGAGTGGGGACTTTTTTATGTGTTTGTTGTACCTTGTGACCTCTTAGTACTTAGCTATTTCCCTTCTCTCCTTAGAAAGACCTCCTTGTGGAGTCACTTTTCTTTCATTTCTCTGCAATTGTTGGCTTTAAATTTTAGGAGTGTTTAGGATTGGTTATCAGGTTTTGTCTTTTTAAAATTTCTCTACCCACTATATATACTCTAAACTACTTTGGTGGTCTCTTCTTTTGCAAATACGGAAGTACTGGCTGCCAATTAAATGCCTTCTAGAAAATATTTTCTGACCTAGTCTCTCACATCTTACACCACTGAATAAAATCATATGCTACCACTTCTATTGAAAAATATTGATAAGGTGTAAGAGAATTTCTGAGTCTTTAAAACTTAATAGAATTTGTGTTTTAAGGACCTCCTTAGAAACATATTAGACCTTTATCTGACAATGGAACATTATTTACAGATTCTGATATTTGGATGCTAAGAAATATTGATGAAACATAGCCATTTGTAATGACTCTTTAAATGACATAACACTATTCATATGTATGCCAGTCGTCATATATCAGTAGTTTAATACTGAGCAGAAGGAATTTTATGAAACTTTTCAACTTCAAACAAAAGTATGTAATACGTGTGTCTGAGACCTCTAGACTCTTCTTCCCATTCCCCTTGTGTAGGTTTTATATATGAACATGGTATAGAAATTATTCTTCATACCTATAATACTTGTCTCCACACCACGTGTCATTTGAATGCTCACTGCTGTGAAATTACTAAAAGCATTAATACAGTCACCTTTTCTTATATGAATGACAGTTTTTGTTTCATATGTTTATAGAAATGTTTTGATTACAACTTCTTAATATTTTAGATAGGTTTAAGATTTAGTATGCAACAGCTGTTAATAAAAATATATCTATC